TATAAATATAATTTTTAGAAAACCAGAGGAAACATAAAAATCCACAGAGGCTTCAGCAAATATTCACATCCTCCACTGTGGTTGTACATGTAAATGGATTAAACTGCCATTTTTTTCCAATCAATCTATAATCAATAACCTATAATCACCCATAGTCCTTTACAGCTGGTCTCAGTCTGTTTATTTCAGCTGTTCAACACAAACTGTAGAAACTGGACCTGATTCTCTGCACAGCAATAACCTGCAGTTTGTTCTGTTTCTAATGATCATTACACACTGTCTCACCTGTGTCTCACCTGTGTCTCACCTGTGTCTTACCTGTGTGTTTCAGAGGAAGAGTAAAGTCCATTATCAGGTTGCTGTGATCATCAACTACCTGGGTCACTGTATCTCTCTGGGAGCGCTCCTGCTCGCCTTCACTCTCTTCATGAGACTCAGGTATGGTGATGATGGTGATGATGGTGAACATGGTGATGATGGNTGTGTCTCACCTGTGTCTTACCTGTGTCTCACCTGTGTCTTACCTGTGTCTCACCTGTGTCTCACCTGTGTCTTACCTGTGTCTCACCTGTGTCTCACCTGTGTCTCACCTGTGTCTCACCTGTGTCTTACCTGTGTCTTACCTGTGTCTCACCTGTGTCTCACCTGTGTCTTACCTGTGTGTTTCAGAGGAAGAGTAAAGTCCATTATCAGGTTGCTGTGATCATCAACTACCTGGGTCACTGTATCTCTCTGGGAGCGCTCCTGCTCGCCTTCACTCTCTTCATGAGACTCAGGTAACATACCTGTCTAAACACACTCACTGTTACAGATTGACTCTGATGGTGGTGATGATGATGATGATGATGGTGAACATGGTGATGATGGTGATGATGGTGATGATGGTGGTGAACATGGTGATGATGGTGATGATGGTGATGATGGTGATGATGGTGATGATGGTGATGATGGTGATGATGGTGAACATGGTGATGATGGTGAACATGGTGGTGATGATGATGATGATGGTGAACATGTTGATGATGGTGAACATGGTGATGATGGTGAACATGGTGGTGATGGTGATGATGGTGATGATGGTGAGGATGGTGGTGATGATGGTGATGATGGTGAACGTGGTGGTGGTGGTGATGGTGAGATGTCTCTCTGTCTGTCTCTCAGTCTCTGTCTGTGTCTCTGTCCCTGTCTCTAACAGGAGTATTCGCTGTCTGAGGAACATCATCCACTGGAATCTGATCTCAGCGTTCATCCTGAGGAACGCCACCTGGTTCATCGTGCAGTTAACTATGAATCCTGCTGTTACCGAGAGCAACCAGGTAATACATACACACAGTGACTGTGTTGCTGACAACTGTCACCATGGAGACAAGCTGATCTGCAAGTAAACACAGATTCACCCCTGCACCCCCACCCCCACAGGTGTGGTGCAGGTTGGTGACAGCAGCCTACAATTATTTCCATGTGACGAACTTCTTCTGGATGTTTGGTGAAGGCTGTTACCTCCACACAGCCATCGTCCTCACCTACTCCACCGACAAACTCAGGAAGTGGATGTTCATCTGCATCGGCTGGGGTAAGTATACCTGTCTGTCTGAACACCTGTCTGTCCTCCTGTCAGCTGACTTGCTCATCTGTCCATCAATACACCTGTCCGTCAGTACACCTGTCTGTAAATCTGTCTGTCAGTACACCTGTCTGTCTGAACGCCTGTCTGTCCTCCTGTCAGCTGACTTGCTCACCTGTCTGTGTGGTTACAGGTATTCCTTTTCCCATCATAGTGGCCTGGGCTTTTGGGAAACTTTACTACGACAATGAGAAGTAAGTCACATGATCAGGTCATAGGTGTGGGATGAAGTCAGTCACATGATCTACATAAATCCATTGTATTTGATTGACAGGTGCTGGTTTGGAAAGAAGGCAGGAATTTACACAGACTACATCTACCAGGGCCCCATGATCCTCGTCCTGTTGGTAAGAACTCATCCAGTCCATATCTGGCTCTGCATTAGTAAGCCTAGCCTAGCCTAGCCTAGCCTAGCCTAGCCTAGCCTGGCAGACAGAGCATCTCCAAACACATGAGTTAAGGACAACGTCTGTGCTGTAATTTCAGCTATATGCGTAACAACATTAATATTACATAAAATAAGTTTAACCTTTAAGTTTCTGTTGATGTGTGACTTTGTGTGCAACACAGCAAACAACTAACACATGGATGGCTCTGAAAAAAACCAGTTTGTTTAAACATCATTCCCTTTTCCACGTGTTGGTTCTTCATGTCCCTGTCCTTCGTCATCAGCAGTAGAGTCTAAACACAAACTCATTAACAGGCCTGTTGTATTTCGTCCTCTCCACAAACAGAAAACCGCCTCAGCCTCTCCATGTTTATCTCGTTTGCTCTTTAAATGTCTTTATTCCTCTGAGCAGCAGGAGGCGCTGCAGCCTCTTGATCCATGTCTGTCTGTGGCTGTTCAGGATCCAGGTTTAACATTTACTTTTAATGGTCAACATGAGAGGGAGCTTCATGTCCTCTAAATATTTAATACTGCGAACTTGTTTTCTGTTCTACCTGCAGCTGTTATACTTTAATGATCTCTCAGCTCATTTAACCCCAGACAGAGTGGTGGAACCTGATTGGTCCTGCTGTGTTCATTATGATCACCTGGTGCAGGTACAGAACGATATCAATGTATAAAACTACAAACAAACCTTGACAGAAGAGAAACATTGGGCCAGACGAGGACTCAATACAAACAACAACTCTGTATGAACGTTTCTCGTCTCCTCCTCAGGTCAACTTCGTCTTCCTGTTCAACATCGTTCGGATCCTGATGACCAAACTGAGGGCGTCGACCTCGTCAGAGACCATCCAGTACAGGTACGAGTTCCTGTAGAACAGGTGAAAACATCTTGCAGCTGAAGCAGACTGAAGACACAATATAAGCTGTAACATAGAGTGTGTTGTTGTGTGATGTTGTGTTCTGTGTGTTCATCGCACACATGTATATGATGTAACTACAGACTTTTGTGACCTCATGACACGTGACATGGAAACTTTCTGTCACAGAAATGTTCAGAGGTTTTTTTTCGTGTTCAGTTTTCTCTTTGGTGTGAAATCAATAAAATATATCTTAATTCAAAACGTTGATTAATCTAAATGATTATGGAACATTGTGCAAATGTGTTTAATGAATTCATTAAGATTTGTTGAACTCTTTTTTATTCTTTTTTGACCATTCTCAGTGTTTTTAAATTCAATAACTACATTATTACAACCTTCTGTTTTAAAGTGTCATGGAAATAAATGTGACACTTTATTATTATTAAGACAAAGGGAAATGAGGAATTTGTTCTCTAATTCCTCTCTAGCAAAACAAAAACTAGTTTATCTCAAAATATCTACAGTTGAGTATTGAGCCTTATCTTTTATTACGAAAGGATCAGAGCAAAGTTTGACTCATATTAACTGAAAAAGTTCAACAAGTCATAGTTATAATTTCATATTAAATAAATAAGATTCAGTTTCTCTCACCACAGACACATTTACAGTGTTAGTGACATTTCACACTGTAGGAAGTTAAAAATCAGATCAGTCAGCTGATCTCGTTGTGGTCTGGCTCCTGCAGGAAGGCGGTGAAGGCGACTCTGGTGCTGCTGCCTCTCCTAGGAATCACCTACATGCTGTTCTTTGTGAATCCTGGAGGAGAAGACGAAGTCGCTCAGATCGTCTTCATCTACTTCAACTCCATACTGGAGTCCTTCCAGGTTCATCTCACCGCAAACATTTCAGTCTGTTGCAGCCTATTAGCTGTCTGTTAGCTGTCTGTTAGCTCTGTTAGCAGCCTATTAGCTTTCTGTTAGCAGCTTATTAGCTGTCTGTTAGCAGCCTGTTAGCTGTCTGTTAGCAGCCTATTAGCTGTCTGTTAGCGGTCTGCTAGCAGCCTGTTAGCTGTCTGTTTGCAGCCTGTTAGCTCTGTTAGCTACCTGTTAGCTGTCTGTTAGCTCTGTTAGCTGTCTGCTTGCAGCCTGTTAGCTCTGTTAGCTGTCTGTTAGCAGCCTGTTAGCTCTGCTAGCTGCCTGTTAGCAGCCTCTTAGCTCTGTTAGCTGTCTGTTAGCAGTCTATTAGCTCTTTTAGCAGCTACCAGCCTGTTCCCTTACCAGCCTGTTAGCTCTCTTAGCAGCTAACCCTGTCTCTGTGTCCACAGGGATTCTTTGTCTCAGTGTTCTACTGTTTTCTCAACAGTGAGGTGAGACTGATGTTTTGTACTCAGCCCATTTAGTTTTTATTTCTATATAAGGTCACACATTTTAACATTTACAGGTACACAGAATATTTACCTGTCTGTCTACCTGTCTGATTGTGTGCAGGTGCGATCTGCAGTCAGGAAGCGTTGGATTCGTTGGCAGGATCGTCACTCCATCCAGAGCCGGGTGGTGCGCGCCACGTCACTGCCCACCTCACCGAGCAGAGTATCTTTCCACAGCATCAAACATTCCTCTAACCTCTGATAGTCCGTTGGACCTGAACACCTCCAATCACAACCTGTGATGTTATTCCACTCAGCCAATCAGAGGGATCAGTGGATCAGATCAGACCAGCCAATTGCAGGGCACAACACAGATTTATGGAGCCAATCAGGCGATCTGTCAGTCAGGTTTCTTCATGGCCCCACCCCCTTTCATTAGCTGGCCAATCACAGGATGTGATCAGCTGCTTCTACAGGGTCACATGTCCTTTTAGGCAGCTGGACAGTGTCCACATTCTGTAATCGATAAGTTTATTTATTTATTAATAAATGTGTAATAATGTGTTATTGATGAGCTGTAACTGTTTATATTGTAATATTGATCACAAGCTTTCTACTATTTAACAGAGCTAAACACACGCACACACACACACACTGAGAACGTTTCCCATGAGGAAACAGGAAGCTGAACAATAATCACACAACTTTACTGTTTGTGTCGTTACCTTGAAACAACAACAAACTGATCCTCTGATGCTGCAACAACAAGCTAATATGTTATTATGTTGTTATAATGTTAGTAGTCTGTTAGCTCTGTTAGCAGCCTGTTAGCTTTGTTAGCAGTCTGTTCACAGCCTGTTAGCTCTGTTACCTGTCTGTTAGCATCCTCTGACGCTGCAACAACAAGCCAGTGTGTAAGAGTCGAGACCTTTGTTGGAGAGTCACGGCCTCACACACGCTATGAAATCCAAACTTTTATTTCATTAAATCACTGTCACTATAAACATGGGATTAAACTGGGCATTATAACAAACCCCTTCCGCCTGAACACATCACACAGAGAGGGGAGCAGCCAGCAGGGGGCACTCTCTGTTCCACATCACCTCCTCTAACTGCTGAAGATCAACTCCCTGATTCTGCTTCACAACATCTGGACACATACTGATGTTAATCCTGGGATTGAAACACGTCATGGCTTTAGGTCCAGATAACAACAGAGAGCTGCCACACCTTTAATATTTGCACTTTCCATCAGATTGACTTGAGCTAACTGTCTATTCATTGTAATTGTTGTGCACATTTGCACTAAAACCTTGTTTAAATACAGAGATGATAGAGACCAGTAGTACTAACAGTAACCATAGTAACCCCAGTAGCCACAGTAACCATAGTATAGTTAGTACCTGTAGGTTAGTACCTGTGGAGGGAAACACTCAGGATGAAACACCAACTGCTCCTCCTTATTATTGTGTGTGTGTGCCTGTGTGTGAGTGGGAGAGTGTGTGTGTGTGTGCCTGTGCGTGTGTGCGTGCGCGTGTGTGTGAATCAGTGGCATTATTAGCTGGAAGAAGCTTGATACCTGATTTAAACCCATGACTTTTTGGTAATATTAAGTAGTACTAAGTATTGAATTTATAATGACATCATCAGATGAAGGAGCGCTTGGTTCATCCACCAGCCTGAGTGACTCACTCTGATGTTCGACATTTACATGTGAGTCTGTATCTGATAATATCAAATCATGAAATAAATTCTTCATCAGCATGAATGTTTTTTTCTCTTCAAATGCAAATGAAATGCAATGATTCTGAGTCAACTTTGACTCCCAAGATGCATTTCACTAACAGTCACAGAGCTTCACCTTCAGCTACTTTTTGTAGAAACCTGATCATTCAGAGGGGTTTTATTCTGGATCAGACTTGGTCGACCTCAGGCCTAACACCTGCATAGTTTGGGACATTTTGTTGTGTAAAGATTTAGGTCTCAGGCTGGGTTCAGGTCTGGTCTTGGTCGAACCAGTCAGGTTCAGTCTGGGTCTTAAAGACACAGGAACAGGATGGTTCTGGTCCCAGGTTTAGACTCAGCAGCTGAGGCTCATGGAATCTGTTGTGTATGTGGTAAAGTAGAACTAATCCAGAACCCGTGTGATAGAGTGCTGAGTTTCTCCTCTCACTTCACAGTAACACAGTCACCAGTGTATTCCCGCCTGAACAGTCTTCACTGTGGCCTCAAACCAGCCTGGACCCAGTTCCTGTGTCCTCCTGATGTCAGGTGGTTTCAGAGGGGTCAGCTGGTCCCTGGTGTGAACACACCTGACTTCAGTCTACCTTCAGGTTCAGAGAGGACGCAGCTGAAATAAGTGACGAGAAGAAAGTTCAGAAGGAGGAGTGAATCGATCAATAGAATCAATCAAATCAATTAGATCAATCAATATGATTAAAGATCAAATCATTTAAAAATCTGATTAATACCTTTGATTAGTGAGAAGACCACCTCAGAACACATCAATTATTATTTATAATTATATAATAATAAATAATTATATAATTGTAAATAATAATTATAAATATTATTTATAATAATTATTGTATATTATATCATTATATTAACTATTATAATAATTATTATATAATTGTGTTTGGCTGGGCAAGATTAGTTTGACCTCATGTTTGACATCATAGCTGTGTCTGAAGCTGGTTGTACAGTTAGTGATTATTATTGATACTGACTGACTACATTACCCATCAGCCCCCATCAGCCCTGACAGTCAACATGATGGTGACCTGACAGATCAATAATCAATTCCTGCAGGTGAAAATAAGATGTTGAGACAGGAAGTGACTCACAGCGCCACAGTGACACCTGCTGAACAGTCTGAGTATGTCACTGATCACCGACCAATAAAACTTGTTTGATTATCATCAATCAGTCCATCACTGATTATAATTCAAAATGTGTTTACATTTAATTTAATTTGATTTCTATGATCAGTTTATTGGGAACACTGATGATGACGTCATGTTACATGTCGTTTATTTTCCTCCGGTTTTGATTTATTATATTTAATTATAATTATTGTCTCAGCTCCGTGTGTTTGTTGTTGATGCAGATGACGTCACAAACTGTGAAACACAAAAAACAAATACAAACACTCCAGTGAGGAAGAACCTCAGTTTAGTTTTAGCGTCTGTCTGTTTTACAGTGCAGTGATGCAGCAGGTTACCATGGTAACAGCAGCCTCCTCTCCCAGCATGCAGCAGCAGCGGAGCCGCCCCCCCCTCTCAGAGCAGTTGCAGGGTGGAGCAGCAGACAGACGGACAGCAGCTGCAGCAGAACCCGGAGGTAAGAAACGTAACCACCAGCAGACCCACCTGTCTGTCTCTCACCTGTCTGTTTGTGAGTCTGTCTATCGTTCCTCCTCCTGTCTCTGCCGCTCCTGTCTACAGCCTCACTGGCTCTCAGGCGGCAGAGGCGGCAGAGGCGGCAAACGCGACTATTTTCCGCTCTCTTACTGTCACCGCCCGGTTCACCGCTGCGCTCGTTATCCCGTTAGCCTGCAGGCTAAAGGAGCTTCGGGGGGGGGGCTGAACGTGTGCATGAGGCATGAGTGATTGACAGGTGGAGGGGACAGTAGAGTCTGATAGAAACGGACTTTACTGTTGCTGCATCATCATCATGGACGACTCTGTTACTGAGCATGCTCACTGACTCCTCCTGACCCCCCCATAGGAGAGATGATGGATGGAGACTCGGCCCCCCCCAGAGATGGCTCCGACCAGCATGAGCAAATGATGATGGGAGGTGGGTGTCGGCCTTTATTTTCTCTTCTTCTCCTGTCACACACACACACACACACACACACACATGTTCTCCTGTCACACACATGTTCTCCTGTCACACACATGTTCTCCTGTCACACACACAGACACACACACACACACATTCTCCTGTCACACACATGTTCTCCTGTCACACACACAGACACACACACACACACATTCTCCTGTCACACACATGTTCTCCTGTCACACACACAGACACACACACACACACATTCTCCTGTCACACACATGTTCTCCTGTCACACACACAGACACACACACACACACATTCTCCTGTCACACACATGTTCTCCTGTCACACACACAGACACACACACACACACATTCTCCTGTCACACACATGTTCTCCTGTCACACACACAGACACACACACACACACATTCTCCTGTCACACACATGTTCTCCTGTCACACACACAGACACACACACACACACATTCTCCTGTCACACACATGTTCTCCTGTCACACACACAGACACACACACACACACATTCTCCTGTCACACACATGTTCTCCTGTCACACACACAGACACACACACACACACATTCTCCTGTCACACACATGTTCTCCTGTCACACACACAGACACACACACACACACATTCTCCTGTCACACACATGTTCTCCTGTCACACACACAGACACACACACACACACATTCTCCTGTCACACACATGTTCTCCTGTCACACACACAGACACACACACACACACATTCTCCTGTCACACACATGTTCTCCTGTCACACACACAGACACACACACACACACATTCTCCTGTCACACACATGTTCTCCTGTCACACACACAGACACACACACACACACATTCTCCTGTCACACACATGTTCTCCTGTCACACACACAGACACACACACACACACATTCTCCTGTCACACACATGTTCTCCTGTCACACACACAGACACACACACACACACATTCTCCTGTCACACACATGTTCTCCTGTCACACACACAGACACACACACACACACATTCTCCTGTCACACACATGTTCTCCTGTCACACACACAGACACACACACACACACATTCTCCTGTCACACACATGTTCTCCTGTCACACACACAGACACACACACACACACATTCTCCTGTCACACACATGTTCTCCTGTCACACACACAGACACACACACACACACATTCTCCTGTCACACACATGTTCTCCTGTCACACACACAGACACACACACACACACATTCTCCTGTCACACACATGTTCTCCTGTCACACACACAGACACACACACACACACATTCTCCTGTCACACACATGTTCTCCTGTCACACACACAGACACACACACACACACATTCTCCTGTCACACACATGTTCTCCTGTCACACACACAGACACACACACACACACATTCTCCTGTCACACACATGTTCTCCTGTCACACACACAGACACACACACACACACATTCTCCTGTCACACACATGTTCTCCTGTCACACACACAGACACACACACACACACATTCTCCTGTCACACACATGTTCTCCTGTCACACACACAGACACACACACACACACATTCTCCTGTCACACACATGTTCTCCTGTCACACACACAGACACACACACACACACATTCTCCTGTCACACACATGTTCTCCTGTCACACACACAGACACACACACACACACATTCTCCTGTCACACACATGTTCTCCTGTCACACACACAGACACACACACACACACATTCTCCTGTCACACACATGTTCTCCTGTCACACACACAGACACACACACACACACATTCTCCTGTCACACACATGTTCTCCTGTCACACACACAGACACACACACACACACATTCTCCTGTCACACACATGTTCTCCTGTCACACACACACACGTTCTCCTGTCACACACACACACACACACACACACAC